TTTTTTGGGGTTTCCCAGGTGGATTTTGGGGGTTTTGGGGTTCCTGGGTGGATTTTGGGGTGTTTTTCGGGGTTTTTGGGGACCCTGGACAGGATTTTGGGGTGTTTTTAGGGGATTTTCGGGTTTCCCAGGTGGATTTTGAGGTTTCCTGCGTGGATTTTGGGGTGTTTTGGGTGTTTTTGAGGTTTCCCAGGTGGATTTTGGGGCGTTTTTAGGGGTTTTTGGGGTTTCCCGGGTGAATTTTGGGGTGTTTTTGGAGGTTTTTGGGGTTTCCCGGGTGGATTTTGGGGTGTTTTGGGTGTTTTTGAGGTTTCCCAGGTAGATTTTGGGGCGTTTTTAGGGGTTTTTGGGGTTTCCCGGGTGGTTTTGGGGTGTTTTTGGAGGTTTTTGGGGTTTCCCGGGTGGTTTTGGGGGGTTTTTGGGGTCCCCGGACATGATTTTGGGGTTATTTCGGCTGTTTTCGGGGTCCCTGAGGTGGATTTCCGGCGCAGGGAGCTGCTGCGGTGGCTGGTGTCGCTGTCCCGGGCCCTGGGCCAGGCCCTGCTCGGGGTCTCGGGCGCCCTCCGACCCCTCCTGGAGGGACCCCAGACCCACCCTGGGGAGCGCTGACCCCGCCCCCCGCCGCGGGCCACGCCCCCTCGGTCAGAAAACCCCGCCCACTTCAAAAACCCCACCTTTCCACCTTAAACCACGCCCATTTTACCAAAGCCACGCCCCTTCCCCCGTAAACCACGCCCATTTCACTAAAACATGCCCAGAGCCACGCCCCTTCCCCTTAAACCACGCCCATTTACCAAAGCCACGCCCCTTCCCCCGTAAACCACGCCCATTTCACTAAAACCTGCCCAGAGCCACGCCCCTTCCCCTTAGACCACGCCTGTTTTACCAAAGCCACGCCCCCTTCCCCTTAAGCCACGCCCATTTACCAAAGCCACGCCCCTTCCCCTTAAACCACGCCCATTTTACCAAAGCCACGCCCCTTCCCCTCAAACCACGCCCATTTTTCCAAAGCCACGCCCATTCCCCTTAAACCACGCCCATTTACCAAAGCCACGCCCATTCCCTTAAACCACGCCCATTTTACCAAAGCGAGCCCAAAGCCACGCCCATTCCCCTTAAGCCACGCCCACTTCACCAAAACAAATCTCAAACCACGCCCCTTCCCGTTAAGCCACGCCCCTTCCCCTTAAACCACGCCCCTTCCCCTCAAACCACGCCCATTTTTCCAAAGCCACGCCCATTCCCCTTAAACCACGCCCATTTTACCAAAGCCACGCCCATTCCCCTTAAACCACGCCCGTTTTACCAAAGCGAGCCCAAAGCCACGCCCATTCCCCCTTAAGCCACGCCCACTTCACCAAAACCAATCTCAAACCACGCCCCTTCCCCTTAAACCCCGCCCATTCATTGACCACGCCCACTTTACCTTAAAAGGTCTCGAGCCCCGCCCACCCAAAAGCCACGCCCATCCCGGTTAAGCCCCACCCCTTTCTATGCAAATCAAGGTAAAGAAGACGAAAATGTTAAAAAATAAAAGTTTTTAATTAAAAATCTGAGGGGGCGGGGTTTGGGTGGGGGAGGGGCGGAGTCAGAGGCTCAGGCCACGCCCCCTGAGCCCCGCCCCCCTCTGGAGCTCCTCCCACTTTTCCCGGTCCCTCTGGAAAAGCTCCAGCCCCAAATTCCGGGCGACGCCGCGGCCGAGGGGGTCCCGGAGCAGCTCGGGGAGGTGGGGGGCTGCAAAAATGGGGGAAAAACGGGCAAAAATGGTCAAAATCAGACAAAATCACTCAAAATCGGTGAAAAATCAGCCCAAAATCAGAGAAAATCAGAGAAAATCACACAAAATCAGCCCAAAATCAGAGAAAATCAGCCCAAAATCAGAGAAAATCAGAGAAAATCACACAAAATCAGCCCAAAATCAGAGAAAATCACTCAAAATCAGCCCAAAATCAGACAAAATCAACCCAAAATCAAACAAAATCACTCAAAATTGCACAAAATCAGACAAAAACAGACAAAATCAGACAAAACCAGCCCAAAATCAGAGAAAATCACACAAAATCAGACAAAATCGGTTCAAAATCAGACAAAATCACTCAAAATTGCACAAAATTGGACAAAACCAGCCCAAAATCAGCCAAAATCACCTGAAAATCAGCAAAAAATAACCCAAAAATTCCCCCAAAATCAGCCCCAAAACCCCGGAAAAAATCCCTAAAAAACCCAGCAAAAAAATCCTTAAAATCCCCCCCCAAAATTCCCAAAATTTCTCAAAAAATTCCCAAAACGTTCCCAAAAGAATTCCCCAAAAAATTCCCCAAAAATTCCCAAAAAATCCCAAAAAATTCTCAAAAAATCCCAAAAAATTCCCAAAAATTACCCAAAAAAAATACCAAAAATTCCTAAAAAATCCCCAAAAATTCCCAAAAAAATTCCCAAAAATTCCCCCCAAAAAATCCCCCCAAAAATTCCCAAAAAATCCCCCCAAAAATTCTCAAGAAATCCCTAAAAATCCCCAAAAGATTCCCGGAAAAAACTCCCCAAAAAATCCCCAAAAATTCCCCAAAAAAAATTCCATTAAAAAAAATCCCCAAAATTCCCCCGACCACCCCCTAAAAAACCCCAAAAAAATCATTAAAAAACCCCAAAAAAATCATTAAAAAATCCCAAAAAAATCATTTAAAAATCTAAAAAAAACCCAAAAAATCCCCAAAAATTCCCAAAAAACCCCCAAATTTTCCCTGCCCCTCCCCCAATGCCGGGATTTTCCGGAATTCCGGGATTTTTGCTCACCCAGCTCCTCGGCCATCCGGGCTCGTTGCCGGGGGCGGCCGCTGGCCCAGGCGGCGTCCAGGACTCGGCTCCCGCTGCGATCCCGAGCCAGCGCCGGCCAGTGGCCCTGGAAACGGCCCAAAACATTCCCAAAATATCCCAAAACATTCCCAAAATGTGCCCAAAACATTCCCAAAATATCCCCAAAACATTCCCAAAATATTCCCAAAACATTCCCAAAATATCCCCAAAACATTCCCAAAATATTCCCAAAAAACTCCCAAAATATCCCCAAAACATTCCCAAAATGTGCCCAAAACGTTCCCAAAATATCCCCAAAATATCCTTAAATATTCCCAAAATATTCCAAAAATATCCCCAAAATATCCTTAAAACATTCCCAAAATGTGCCCAAAATATTCCCAAAATATTCTTAAAATATCCCCAAAATATTCCCAAAACATTCCCAAAATATCCTTAAAACATTCCCAAAATATCCCCAAAATATTCCCAAAAAATCCCTAAAAAAATCGAATTTTTCCCCTAAAAACCCCAATTTTTTATTCTTAAAAATGCAAATTTTTTCCCCTAAAATTCCCAATTTTTCCCCCTAAAAATCCCAATTTCTTTTCCC